TTCCATCAAGAAAGATCCATTAGTGCGCGGTAGGTAGAAAAAGGTTGACTACCACTGATTTACAGTCACAGACCTTATCTGGCTTGGAGAGCTGCCAGGCCGAGATCTGAAGAACTTGGCCAGGAGTCTCGGAGAGTCACGAACCAATGAAGGGAACTCATGGCCTCCTGCAAACTCCACTCCCCATTCGCTCCTCTTTTATCTCCTCTGGGAGGGGCCATTCACCGTCCACCTGTGGCTTTACTCCCAAGTTGACCCTTGTTCTTTAGCTCTTCCCTTCCTCTGGCCGCTCTGCCCATGCGCACACTGGGAACAGGCTCCAGCTGTTCTTCTGCCTCACTGATGTCCAACTCCGAAGGCAGCTGATAACTGTCAGACGGCCCCGGCCCCCTCTCTGCCTCCAACACAGAGCCCTCGTCCGAGCCTTCCCCAGACTCCAGGACTGGCCCAGGTTCCTCCCCAACCTCCTCACTGTCCGAATCTGCCGCCAGCTCTGCTGATCGCAGGAGGGCCACAACAGGGATAGATGGAAAGAAAGAGAGGAGGTGGACCAGCGAGATGGACTCAGCTACAAAGGGGTGATCCATTGGAGGCCCAGAATCAGATTGGGGACAGATTGTCCTGGAGAACATCTACGTGGTCGCTAAGAGTTCCCACCAACTTAATGGCACATATTCTGGTGGTTCTTGACTTACGACCACAGCTGAGCTCAAAATTTATGCTGCTAAATGAGATATTCCGTTGAATGCATTTTGCCCCATTTTACGACCTTTCTTGCCAATGCCGTTAAGTGAATCACTGCAGTGGTTAAGTTAGGAGCATGGTCGTTAAGTGAATCTTGGCTCGTCCGAAGGTCGCAAAAGGGAATCACGGGACCCCGGGACATTGCGGCCGTCCTAAATACGAGTCAGTTGCCAAGCATCTGGATTTTGATTCCGTGACTGTGGGGGATGCTGCAACGGTCATGAAGTGTGAAAAGCGGCCACAAGTCCCTTTCTGGTAGCGCTGTTGTAATTTCAAACCGTCGCTAAACCGAATGATTTGTAAACCGAGGACTACGGTATCTGGAGTGTTGTGGCAATGAGTGGACTTCGACTCCCAGAATTCCCCAGGCAGCAAAACTTGGAAGTCCACCAAGCTTCAAGTTGCCATGGTTGGGGACCCCTGCCCTAGAGGGCCAAGGGAGGGGGGGTTGAAGCCATCTTTTGGGCAGGGGGGGGATCTTCTTCACAGCCCAGACTTAAACCGTCTTCTGTACAGACCAGGGATGAAAATTGCAGCTGAGGAAATGGTTGATCTGGGTTTAAAACTCCCCTTCTGTTTTGTCGGTGATGATCCTGTGGGTGGGGGGGGCTCTGTCTGGATCGCTGGAGAGAATCCTTGCTGAAACCCCCTCCCCCTCAAGCCAGCCCCTGAGACCCCAGGAACCAGCCCCTCCCTGCTGGCCCCCTCCAGCAAGCAGCAGCTTCGTCTCTGCTGACTCCCCCCCTCAGGAACCAGGCCCTCCCACCCACCCTCCAGAAAACAGCTCCTCCCTGCTGAGCCCCCCAAG